GTTGCTATTGCTGCGGGTGATAGCAGGCTTATTGGCCTTGCCTGTCGTGATTTGGTAGCAGCTGAAGCGTGTTACCGTGGTCGGTGCTTTTGAGATTGTACCTGACCAGATAAAGCGAGCAAGTACACTGACTTGGAAAAAAGTGAACCGGACTCGGATGAAAACCATTTTTTTGATATAGAGTCTCAAGCTTATGACAGACTGTTTGAGTTTATTTGATCAGATTTATTAAATCCCAGATTTATTTATATGGTTGATCTGAGAGAGAAGCAGTAATCTCCATGCGATCAATGGACGCTACTGAAATATCCGAATCAACGAAAAAGACATTTCTGAAGAAAGTTAGAAAACGATCTCGGCGACTTGCGACAATTTGAAGATCTCGCGAACAACAATAAAGTTTTTCTTCTTTCCAAAAATTTTTCAAATGCTCAACTGGCCAGAGAGATAGTAACTTTATCTCAGCAATTCGACAACAGTGCTGACTCCATGTAAAGTCAAGGAAAATAGCAAGTTGGACTGTACATCTGTAATGTAGTTCTTTCAAATAATACTGAAATGACATGGCCACCGAAATCTTCTGAACTATGTGAGAATGCAGTCAATCTCCCAGCAGAACTAGATGCCTTTCTTTATACTCGTCTAACTAGCAACTCAGAAATCCCAACGGAATATCCTCATCGCTACCGATGCCTTGTTGGCAACTCTTTTGGGCAAGACATCATATACGGGATAACTGGAGGAAAACCTTCCAAACAAATGCTATTATCATACGCAGTAAAAACATTGCAAACCGCAATGTTGAGCTTATAGAGATGTTAATCCGATGTGGGCATGGGATTGCCTATACGCAAATTGAGGAAATAAACACAGCACTTTGCCTACAAAAAGTGGCCTCGACACCTGATAATGATGTTCCTTTGCCGAAAAATATTCAAGCAAAGGTTGCGTAGGATAATATTGATAGAACAGAAGAGACTCTTTCTGGCGCAGGAAGATCTTATCGAGTAAATGTTATTACTGTTTAAGCCAGGCATTTTGGTCCCGGAACCTCCTTCCGCCCCTCTGGAACTGAGCAAGCTAGGACAAGGAAAAGAAACATTGATTCTCCAGTAATCTCGCTTGTACCTCCATATAACGCTGGTGATCGCACGACACGAAGAAGACATGAAATTGATGATGTCGATGCTCGAAGGAAGCTGGATCAATCCCTTTAAGGGAGAAAGGCAAGACCTAGTTGTCTATCCACCGGCAACCTCGCAACTGATTGAGAGAATGATCTGCATTCTTCCGGCAGAGGCTTTCGGAGAGACGGCTTATAAGACATTTTGTCATGACAGGCTTGAGTCTGACCTACGTAAGGTGAAATTGTGCGACAAAATTACGAACCTCAAAGTTAAACAAGAAGATGAAAGGACAAATATTGTCAAGCAAGGAAGTAATCATTAAAGCGGATCATGCGCAGTTTTCTCAAATGATCATTACTGCTGAGAACAGAACGTTGAAGATGAATAATGTGCAGAACCACCTTCTCGGACCTTGCCCTTGGGCCCTTGACTCGGCTGATGCCGGGATTGCTGAAGAGAACCAGCAAATCATCACTTGCCAAGGAGCCAGCCAGAAGAATATGACAGCAGCAGATATGATTCCTCAGCCGTGTGGGCGAATTTTTGACGGAATGGTAATGGTCCAGGAGATAAGAGGCGACCAGACAACATTTGCTGAATTGGCTGACAGTATGATGTCCATGGTTTTGCATGAAGGACCAAACAGCTAGCATATCGACGTGGTCTTCGACGTTTACAGAAATAATTCAATCAAAAAACCCAAGAGAGACAAAAGAGGCTCAGAAAGCGGTCATAAAGTCAGAAACTTCAAGGCAGACTACAAGATACATCAACGGCGGACATTCTTGTCCGATTCCAAGAATAAACCGCTCCTGAGCAAATTTATTTCAGAAAAGTGGCAAAATGAGAGGCACAGAGAGAGGTTCGCTGGAAAGAC